CACACACACCAACCTTAATAAGCAAAGTCCCGCACCGGGAAAAAAGAAGACCAGGCTCTAAATTTTAATACTGTCCCCCTAGGTTGGCGAGGACGCAGTGCCAACTGTCAGAGCCCACTGTGATCCGATGCTGGCAGGCACTCGCAGGAGATCAAGACTCTGTCTACCCCACAGACTCGGACTGCACGCTGGCCTTGCCGCCCGCCTGCCTGGGTCCTCCGCCCCTCCCTACAGCTTCACCCTGAGGCTCCAGGGCACCGGGAGGCAGCCCTGCTGGAAGCACACGGTATGACCCAGGTTACAGTGGCGGTTTGACATTGAATCGATCACAATAAAAGCCCCACTGCCCCACAGGCCCCCACTCTTGGCAGGGTGTCTTGATCAGAAGGTGGGCACACGGGAACCCCATCTCCCAGTCCCCTCGATGCCTGACCTGGAGCTGGGTCACCCGGACATCCCCAAGCCTGCCATCCATGCTAGGGTCCTCAGGCGAGCAGAGGCCAAGGGCTTCCCCCAGCTGTGTCGCCCACGTGCAGGCAGGGGGTCCCAGGGCGTCTGTGGAGTGACACAGAGGAGCCCCGCCCGGGCTGCTGCAGTGGGGGCCGCAGCTTCAGACCTAGGCGATCCCGTTACCCCTCCCTAACGATCTGCACGCCCGGGCAGCTCCCGCAGTCCTGTCCCAGACACCCTGCGGAGCAGGTCTTGTTCAGAAACACATCCCGGGCTGAATCCAGCTTCCTCTCGTTCAGGTGCCACCACTTCCTATGACCACACCAGGTGTGAAAAGCTGTGTTTAACAACATTTATCACGAAAGAAGAAACAGGAAGATGTATCCTATCCACAAGGGAAGAGACCAGGCAGACAAAAAACGGCAGATGTGCTATGCACGCGCACCAGCTCCCCACTAGGAACGCAGCACGTACTGCACACACATTCCAATAAAAAGACACAAACGTACTGTGGTAAGAAACGCTGCCATGAACCCCCTCAGGAGGCTCCCCTCGCTTCGAACACACGCGTCCCATCTCCTTCCCGCTTCCGCAGCAGCTCTGCAGTCCTCTTTCCTGAGGGTCTTTAGCTGCACTGTCCTGGCTGCCTCGGTGTCCTGAATCCATTCAAAATGTTTCCCTCTGAGGTCGTTCTGACCTCTGACCTCAGAGTCGCAGTGCCGGACCCGGTGACTGAGGTGGACGACACGGCCTCCGTCACGTCTGCGCGAGCTGCCTTTCTGACGGACGGTACAGGCAGCAGCACTCACCAGATCGAGGCTCACGAAGACCCTCGGGAAAGAGGACTCCAGAGCTGCTGCGGAACGCGGCGAGGATGACGGTGAGTGTATGAAGTGTGGGGGCGGCGGGGGGCTCCCGGCAGCGGCCTCTCACCGCGGTAACGTTGTTTCACAACTGCTGACACCCACCGTCGTTTTCAGTCACCCCTAGTCCACGGGAGACTCCTGAGAAGGCCTCTAAGGGGCAGGCTTTTCCCTGGGGTCGCAGACGGCCACCTGCTGTTCACACCTAACACGCAGCTTCCCGGCCGAGGACACACGCCTGTCCCTCCTCACCCTGCCTGGGGCCTCGGAGGCCCTGAGCAGCTGGGCGCTGCGACAGCTCTCTCACCTGGCAGATGGAACCCAAGGTCCGCTCGTGTCCAGGGCATCGCTGCAGCCCCACAGGCCCTGCCTGCCTGCTCACACCCGACCTCCAGGATGCGCAGGAGGAGAGGAACCACCAGGCAGCGCTGCAGCACGGACCAGCAACCCAAACACACTCAGCGGGCAACAGCCAGGCCCCGCCTCTCCATAGCTTAGCTTCCCTCTGCCACGCGAAATGTTCCCAGGGAAACTGAGGAAAAGCGCACCAAAACCACGACAGGGACATGGAGACCAATTTAAGCTCACACTGAGCCTTCAGCTGTGCAACACAGTGGCGCCACCATGGCCCAGAGCATCCTCGCATCAGCCCTGTGTCCTGACAGACATCTCATGCCTGCACTAGGCAGCCCGCATCCAGAATGCAGCTCAGACAGACGCTGTCCCCACTGACTGCTTCGCCCAGGGTGGGCAGAGCCTCCTTCCTGTCCTGGATATGGCCTCGAGGGTCCAAGAAGGCAGGGACTCCTGAGAAACCCTGGGAATAGGAACCTGCAGACCCCGCGGCTGCCCTCCAGGCCACCCACTCTTCTGAGAGTCACAGTCCTGCTTGTCTTTTTCTCCAAGTCACTTCATAAGCTCTATGGTTTGTTTTTTTTTAAATTTCAGTATTCACTTCTGACTAGGACATAAGGAAGCCGAGGAAGAAGAAAAACCCAATTTTGACAGAAACCAAGGTTCCTTCCACCCGTCTCGGGGGAGGGATGCCAGGTCCAAAGCTCCGCCTGACTCATACTCCTTGGCCAGTGTGGCGCAGGGCAGCGGGAGGGACCGGGATGGAACCCAGCTCCTTCTCCCTGCTGAGACGGGGTCTCACTAAGCTGCCAATCTTCCTGCCTTGGCTCACATTCAAATATTTTAAAAATCTGAAGAGCCCCTTTCTATCAATCATGAAATGAACTTAAAAAGTCTTTAGAAATCTAACCCTGGACACCAAACCAGCAATGCGTTTTGGGGAGCACCTGTCTGAAGCTCAGAGTTGAGACTCTCCGTCTGCCCTGTGGAGCGGATCTCATGCTCGGCCCGGATGTGCAGCACAGCGCCGGGCCCTGCACACTCCAGGCTGGGAACAAACCCCGGGCCGATCATCAGAGCAACCCAGGTACTCACTCCACCCGCCCCCAAGCCGCCTCCGCCCTGACACCCTGCACCCATGGCCCCAGCCGCGTGGCTTCTGCCTCAGTGACCAGACCTTCACCGATTACCTCAGCTCTTGCCACTTCAAATCGCAGGTGTTTATTTCCACTCAGATTCGCGGATTAAAAGATTCGTCCCATCAGAATCAGGAGGTGCAGCACTGGTTTCCCAGGAACAGAGCAGGAAGAGACTGGAAGGGGTCTGGCACCTCCCCACCCTGGTGTCCCCGAGGCCTACGGGCCTGGGACAGGACACAGCAGGCTCCCAACCCCGTGGGGGCGGGGCATTGCTTACAGAGGCGAGCGGCTCAGAAGCACACGCAAGGCACTAAGGTGTGAAGCTCTAGAGACACAGCAGAGATGCAGGATGCATGGGACCCAGAACGGGACTGGGACCACTAGCTGTGGGGGCCTTGGCCCGAGTCCCCACACTCCCACGGCCTGGCCAGGTCACTTGTACTTATAGAAGCCTTCCCCGGACTTCTTGCCCAACTTCTTCTCCCCCACCAGCTTGTTCAGGGCAGAGCTGGGCTGGAACAGTGGGTTCTCCACATCCATCTCGTGCCACCCTACAGAAAGAGACAAAGTGCAGTACCCGTTCAGACCGGGGCTCCCAGGGCCCTATGAGTGCAGGTCATGGAGCCGCCAAGCCCACCCGGCAGGGCACAGGACAGGGTGTCCCAGGCCTGTGACCCGTGCTGCACAGGAGGCCTGCTCCACAGTGCAGTCAGCCAGGCTATGAGGGCAGCGCAAGAGCACAGGTCCCAGTCACCGGCAGACCCTGTGCACACCTGGCTCGGAGGTCCGACTGCCCTCCGCTGCCCCTCGGTGACCTCCCAAGGACGGCCCTCCTGCTCCTCGTTCCCTCTGCAGGACTGGGCACTAAACCCTGGGCCCTCGCAGGAGCTGCACCTCCAGCTTTTTCTAAGTCTTTCGGGACAGGGTCTCACTGAGTCGCCTGGGGCTGGACTTGAACTTGGAACCCTGCTGCTTCAGCCCCGCCCCCACCCCGCCAAGTGCTGGGGTTGCAGGTGTTTGCCATGCCCAGCTGGGAGTCCACTGTGTGTGTACTTGGGTGTGTACACACGTGTGTCGCTGCGGACACAGGACTGAACTCTGGTCCCTCGCACTGAGCCACATCATAGCTGCCCTGAATTCAATTTTTATTTATTTATTTATGGTACCATGGATCGAACTCCGGTCCTTGTGATTGCTAGGCAGTTGGTGGAACCACTGAGCTAAATCCCCAGCCCTTCAATTTTTATTTTGACACAAGGTCTTGCTAAGCTGGTCAGGCTGGGCGTGAACGCTCTCCTCCTCCTCCTGCCCCAGCCTCAGTGTTGGGGTCACCCAGCCTGACACTTGTTTTTACCCTGGGTTCAAAAGCACCGCGCTAATCTGAATGTATGTTTAAACGGTCGGCTCTCTTGATCAGAGTTACAGAAACCACCCGGTGACAGTCGTCTCCTGACTCTTGTGCTGTGTGGTGGCAGAGAAGCAGCCTGGGAGCAGGAAGGGCACAGCCTCCGTGTGCGGCCCTAACTCACGTGAGCACTCTGGTCTGACAGCACCCCAAGGCGCACATGCCTTCTCCCAGCCTGGACTGGACTCGGATCGCTGGTGCTGTGGCTGAGTACGCCTCGCCCCCAGGGGCTCCGGTGTTGGAGCCCGGTCCGCGTGTCCGGGGACTGTCAGGCCCCAGGGTCCCCATCACAACTGACCACTGCCATCTCAGGAGCAGGTTGCATCTCTGCGACTAACCTGTTCCCAGACAGCAGCGTAACGCAAGGCCGCCGCACGCCCTACACCCCGCGTCCCACGCC